AGCCCCGGCCTCCCTCCCCAGCCCTGTGAGTCTACAGCCCCTGGACAGGCCCCAAGACCTTCCCACGTCCCCAGCTCCGTGCCCTATTACCCAGCCAGAGGCCCTGTCTTCTCTCACACCCGACTTCCACCCTGCACACCCACATCCCAACCCTCTTGCTCCCGATCCTCTCTGCAGTCTGTGTCCTCAACACCATTTCCTTGTTCCAAGCAGGGCACCTGGCCACTGCCCCAGCCTCCCGTGGGTCTCTCCGTATCCCACCAGGCAGTCCGCAGGATTTTCTGTGATAAGCATCAGACCACATCGCTCACCTTTCCACTTGTGGCTCCTTGGCTCCAAAGATAAAGCCTGGGCCCCTAACATGGCTGACAGGACTCAGTAACCTGGCCCCCACCCCACCCCCACCCTCTGCAGCCTTCACAGCCACCGCTTGAACCGCTTGAGCTTCCTCACCCACCATGACTGCGTCCCACCTCCAGGCCCAGCTACTGTTGCACCTGATGCCTGGATGCCTCTCCCCAGGTGCTATTGTTTAGGACCCAGTTCAGGTGTCACCTCCTTCAGGAAGTCTTCCTGGACTCCGTCCTCCGCTCCCACACTGGCAGGTGCCTCCTTTGAACGCCCCCAGCGTAGCACATACCACACGGTATCGGACCTCTCTGTGGAACTGCAGGCCTGTGTGCCCCACCAGACCGGGCCTGGCCCCAGGCTGAGCATAGGGCTGGGGGCCTCACTCCACCTCCCAGCTGTCTTGGAATGGATTTGAGGCTCGGAGAGAAGGAGAAACTTCCCTGACCCCAGAGCCAGGCTGGGGTCAAACTCAGGGTTGCATTTTCTGCTGCTTTAGGCCTGGCACCCAGTAGGTCTTTCAGCAGGTTTATTGGCCATCCTACCACTCATGGGCCATGAGTTATAGCCTTTTTCCTGCTGAGTGTGCTTAGGGAAGGGCAGACGCTGCCAATGGCCCGCAGCAGCTGGCAAGGGAGGAGGAGGGTCCCCAGGCCAGGGAGAGCCTGCAGTGACCCTGAGGAGTGGCCTCCAACCCACCTTGCCCTGCCTCTTCCCAGTAACCTAAGCCCCTCTGTCCTGCTGGCACCTGCCACTTCCTTCGTCCAAAATAACTTGAGTCGTGAGGAGGCATCACAGAGGCCAGGGGTCCAGGACGGAGTTGGGTTACAGGCTCAGCACCCAGACCTTATAAGGCCCCCGATCCAGGCTGCAGCAACTCCTCTCATGACTGGGTGGTCTGCTGAGGGGCCTGGGGAACAGGGGCCTGGGGGGACAGCGACCTAAGGGCTCATCGCTCAGCTGTGTGACCTTGGGCACCTGGTGTCCCCTCTCTGGGCCTGTATCCCCAGGCCGTGACCTGCTCCTGCTGGAGAGTCCTGAGTGGGTATCTGAGCAGTGCTCAGAAAAGGTGGCCCTAGGGCTCCCTTAGAGCCCTCACCAATCATCCGGGGGTCTTCCCGTCCCCCCCCCCCCAGCGCTCAAAATGACATGGCAGGACAGCTCCTTCAATCACAAAGGCTGCCCCTGCCAGGTCCTCCGGGGCAGGGAGTCAGGCCACAGCCCCCTTCCCCGGGCCCCAGCTGGGACGTGCCAAGGGCAGGGACCTGGAGCCCCAACCCCAGGAGTGCCAGCCGGGACAAAGGGGCGACTGTCTAGGAGGCTAGGAAGGACGGCAACACACATCCCCCCACAGGGGCACACGCAGGGTGGCACAAACACCCAGAGCAGAGCCTGGGGAGAACAGACAGGCCAAAACACACACAGATCATAACCACCGACACAAACACACAGCCGCACAAACCCCAAGGATGCCCCGACACACACAGGCTGGCGCCCCCCGGGCGCGCGCGGCTTCCCCACGCCCCGCAGAGGCGCCCCCCGCGCGCCCAGACATGCACACGGGCACACACTGACCTGGGGGAGGGGTGCGGCGGGCGCCGGGGCCAGTGGTGCCCTGCCCGTCCTCGCCGGCCGCCCGCAAAGGCGACTATTTATAAGGCTGTCAGCAGCGCGCAGCATGCCGGGAGCCAGCGCTCCGCGAGGGCAGGGAGGGGGGAAGGAGGGAGGGAGAGCGGACCGGGAGGGGGGTGGGGGGCCGGACCGGGGTGAGCCCCGATGGGAAGCCAGAGCAAG